CCGCCCCTGGTAACATCCAAATACATTTATTCAAAACAATCAGCAAAAACGTGCAATGTTTCAGGGCCACGCAGGACCTCTTCATCAGGCAGGCGATCACATGGGTCCTGTGTGGCCCCAAAGCATTGCACTTTTACCTTGTGATGTGATCTGAAATAAAAAGAGTTTAGATGTTACTTGAAGATCCATGGTGTGCTGGCAAATATGTACTGTACATTGATCTGGGGTGTTACCAGCTCCCAACGGGTTGTTGCTGCAGTACCCGTTTAGCTTTCAGCCTAGTCCAGAAACGAATGCAATGGGAATATTGATAGTCGCTATCTATGCAACTGTCTCCTTGCTAGCTGCTTTGTCGGTCAGCCGTGGAGGGAGGGGGAGTGCCCTATCCAAGGCGTGTACCACCATGTATTTTTTTCGGTCTCCCAGGACCCTGCATTCACTATATCTGGTCTCCCTGGACCATGCATTCACTATATCTGGTCTCCCCAGATCCTGCATTCACTATATCCGGTCTCCCCGGACCCTGCATTCACTATATCTGGTCTCCCCAGACCCTGCATTCACTATATCTGGTCTCCCTGGACCATGCATTCACTATATCTGGTCTCCCCAGATCCTGCATTCACTATATCCGGTCTCCCAGGACCCTGCATTCACTATATCTGGTCTCCCTGGACCATGCATTCACTATATCTGGTCTCCCCAGATCCTGCATTCACTATATCTGGTCTCCCCGGACCCCGCATTCACTATATCTGGTCTCCCTGGACCATGCATTCACTATATCTGGTCTCCCCAGATCCTGCATTCACTATATCTGGTCTCCCCGGACCCTGCATTCACTATATCTGGTCTCCCCAGACCCTGCATTCACTATATCTGGTCTCCCCGAACGCTGCATTTCACTATATCTGGTCTCCCCGAACGCTGCATTCACTATATCTGGTCTCCCCAGATCCCGAATTCACTATATCTGGTCTCCCCGAACGCTGCATTCACTATATCTGGTCTCCCCGGATCCTGCATTTACTGTATCTGGTCTCCCCGGACCCTGCATTCACTATATCTGGTCTCCCTGGACCCTGCATTCATTATATGCGGTCTCCCCGGACCCTGCTTTCACTATATCTGGTCTCTCCGAACCCTGCATTCACTATATCCGGTTTCCCCAGACCTTGCATTCACTATATCCGGTCTCCCCGGACCCTGCATTCACTATATCCGGTCTCCCCGGACCCTGCATTCACTATATCCGCTCTCCCCGGACCCTGCATTCACTATATCTGGTCTCCCCGGACCCTGCATTCACTGTATCTGGTCTCCCCGGACCCTGCATTCACTATATCCGGTCTCCCCAGACCCTGCATTCACTATATCCGGTCTCCCCGGACCCTGCATTCACTATATCTGATCTCCCCGGACCCTGCATTCACTATATCCGCTCTCCCCCCGGACCCTGCATTCACTATATCTGGTCTCCCCGGACCCTGCATTCACTGTATCTGGTCTCCCCGGACCCTGCATTCACTATATCCGGTCTCCCCAGACCCTGCATTCACTATATCCGGTCTCCCCGGACCCTGCATTCACTATATCTGGTCTCCCCCGGACCCTGCATTCACTATATCCGTCTCCCCGGACCCTGCATTCACTATATCCGGTCTCCCCGGACCCTGCATTCACTATATCTGGTCTCCCTGGACCCTGCCTTCACTATATCTGGTCTCCCTGGACCCTGCCTTCACTATATCCGGTCTCCCCGGACCCTGCATTCACTATATCTGGTCTCTACATGGTGTACCACCATGTATTTTTTCTTGGGGGGACAGAACACCATGCTAAAAAAAGAAACATTGTTTAATTTTTCTCTTTTTCCATATCACATTTTACTTTTGTCATTGAATAAAATATTTTCAAGCGCATCCTTGTGTTGCATGAGCTAAGAGCAGATGGATTCCAGGAAATAACTGCTAGATGAATCATCTGCCCTTACTTAAGATGGCGCGTGGCAAGAAACACTAGGGGGTGTGTTTGAAATGATTTTTCAGCAAAATAAATAATGGAGATGTAGATGGATGGGGGAGTGTGCTTTGAATGATAAAAATGAATTCGTGTTTTTAGTTTTTGGTGCTCAGATACAGTGGAACTAAAGGGTGCAAAACATAATTTTCCTCCAATAGTCTCTGTCCTATTTTTATTGGCTGATATGGGATGATGCCGCGCATGCACAGAAGCTAGTGATCCTAGCACACAGAGGTGGGGGTGGGCACTGCGTGCGCAGCTCAGTTTACATGCTGGAGAATGGTAGATGTATTTTATGGTAGAAGAGACATTGCCTACCTGATCACAGAGAGTGACGGGAACTTTTTGCGCTTTAACAAAATAAATCAGCAGTTGAAATACAAATGTATTTAAAAGAGAAGTTTGAGATTTAGAAAAAAAAAAATATACTCCCCTAGGTGGATGCAGCATCAATCTGATGCTGCATCTGTCCCCTGCCTCCTCTGCTCTGAGAACTGAGCGATCAAAGACCACTGATCACTCAGTTCTCAGCATTCTGTGAGCAGGGAGCCAGGGGCTGTCAGTCTCCGGCTCTCTGCTCTGCCCTCCCCCGCGCTCACTGGAGTGCTGAGCTGTGGACGGGAGAAGAGCTGCTGGCTCAGGCTCTTTCTGGCTCGCTGAGAGGCTGAGTCAGATGTCGGTCCAGAGTTCTGGGTGGATCCCGACAATATAGTCGGGATCTTTTCAGTGCCTTGACCGGCTCTGAGACGTAAGTGAAAACAGGTCACAGAAGTGCAGCTCTAACTATAATAAAAGTATAATAAAAGTATGGCTAAAGTAGCTTTGGCTATACTTCTTTAAAGAATAAATGTTTTTTTTACCAGACGCTGGTTCAGTTACTGTTTCCGAATAAATGAATCAATCAGGAATACAAATTTAGTTTTTTTTAAATGGTGTTTTGTTTTCATGATGGTGACGATCTGTCACCTTTCTGTACCAGTCTTGCTGATGGTTTTGTCAGCTTCCTCAGTCCTTTTGTTTAGCCTATTGTTCTGTACATACACGTGTCAAATATTGTGATTTATATTTGTATTCCATGTACTTTGCCTTTTTAAATAAACACTGATTTGAATACATATAAGCTTTTTACTTTCTGCGGCTGTCGCAGGAGAGCTGCAGGCTAGGTTCACACTAGTGCGGCTGCCGTTCAATCTGGTTTTCAGTGCAATTATATAGTGTGATTTGGTTGCATTTTGATGCATTTTTTGACACATTTTGATATGTTTTTGATACTAGTGAGTTTTTTGGTAGGGGAAAAAGACTGAATGCTGGTTGTTAAGGAGCCAGCACACGCCAACGTCCTAACAACCAGCGACTCATTCCTTCTATCAGCCATTGATTCGTGGCAGACAGCAGAATGTAAACAAAGGACTCTGTTAATGAAAAGAAAAAGAAAACGGTATGGGGTTCCTTCGGGTCTGGTGTGGGTCCCAAAATCTATACCGGATTCCTATCCAACCTGGCAGGCCAGGAAAGGAGGGATGAGCATGCGCCCACTTCCCCTTCCCGAACCACAGCAAGCCTTATGCCCTCAACATGGGTGGAGGGGGTACTTTTCCAGGGGGTCTGGCACTCCCCCACCACCACCACCACCACTAGAGTAAACAAAGGGACGGTGTCACCTACTGCAGGGCTTAAAATTTCAAGTCTATACCTACTAGCCAGGCAAAAACCTTACTCTCCACCAGTTGCCCCACCAAACCTTGCACAGGTCTGCCTCCAACCCCACCCCAGGACCGTCCCCCAACCCTGCCCCCAACCACGCCCTCTTAAAGCTTATGAAATTACATTTTTCTTTAGAATAAAGAGTCCAAAATATAAAAAAAACAGCAATTAAACATAACAGCAATAGCTTAATAGAGTCTAGAGGGCATGTGGTTAACATAAAACAATGTAAACATAAAATGAAAATAAGTGTCCCCATCAGAGTCCCCCTTTACATCAGGTGTCCCCATCAGAGTCCCCCTTTACATCAGGTGTCCCCATCAGAGTCCCCCTTTACATCAGGTGTCCCCATCAGAGTCCCCCTTTACATCAGGTATCCCCATCAGAGTCCCCCTTTACATCAGGTATCCCCATCAGAGTCCCCCTTTACATCAGGTGTCCCCATCAGAGTCCCCCTTTACATCAGGTGTCCCCATCAGAGTCCCCCTTTACATCAGGTGTATAGGTCCTAGTGACATATGAACCTACTGTATATGTTTATGGACCATATATGGGGCAGGAGTAAAATCTCTGTATGTGTTTACTGCATGGCTGTCAGCGCCGTGCTTAGGGATAACAGGCTTGGCATAACTGAAGAGGATCGGTCACTGCACACGGGTCTAGGCAGGGAACTCAGCAATGCTGAGCCTCTGATTTTTTCAAGGCTCAGTGTTCATGGTCTGCACTGTGGACAGAGAATCTAGTATGGGCACTCTGGCTTTAGTGCTGCCCCCCCACCAAGCCTTCCAGTTGCGTCTGAGGCATCCATCTCAACTGGCCTAATGGGTGGCACAACACGGTATGAAGACAAAAGAGGACATAAGCGGAAATCTCAACTTACCGTTCTCTACTGCAACAGGTGTCCCCAATTGGAAAAAAATCTCTATTCCTATTCTTTTGCAGTGACAGTGGTCAACAGAACCAATGGAGACCGGCAATAAAAACCTGACCGAGGTTCTAATCTTTCTAAATGGCTTTAGGTACATTTAAAAACCAAATAACAGGCAGATTTACATAAGACTGAGATGGTATTTTACATGATGAGTTTAGGGTCACCAACAAAACTGTAAGATGTCCCCAAATAGACAGAAATAAAGTCTGCTACTGTATGCATCACACTGTCCATTAAAGTCTATAACAAATTAGTAGCATTAGTCCAACTTGTTAGTAACTCCAGCCCTCTGTTCCTGGTCATGTGCTGTGCATGTAACTGACCCCCTTTCCTCTTTTTACAGACATTTTTCTTTAACTTCTTCGAATCTCCAGCTGATCTCTTTGATGAACCTGTTTTCCTTACGGTAAGTGTCTACCAGACATGGCTTCGGTCGGTGGTCTCTGTACTTTGGTTGGTTCCACACACATTGCTTTGTCTAAGGATTAGGCCTGTTGCAGGGTCAGGAAATGTTTGTCTGTGGGGAATCTGCAGTCCTTACAGACAGGTCAGTTGGGGGCAATTAAAATAAATTGCGTGGGTTGATTTTTCCTCTGCCCATTGCTCGTTGTAGAATTTTGGATGGACATTTGTTTGTGTCTTACATACATAGTTTGGGTGTTTCCGCAGCTACGAATGTACTACGCTTTGCAGAACTACAAGATACATATTGTTTCATTGGGCCTGAATCTGTTTTTTCCATTCATAAGGTGCACACCCTTAAATTGGTGAAGCGCTAAAATAGTAAAACTACCCATAAAGTGCCATCAATAAATTAGTGTTTGATAAAAATAAAGAAATCCTAAACCTATATATATCAGTGAAAAAACCTAAATGATATATATAATTAGGTGACATTCATAACTCACAGTGATATAAATCCGTGATTAACAATATAATCCGTGACAAAAATATATATCCACAATTATTTCATACATCAAATTAATATAACAATCAGTGATTAATAATTTCAGTGAAAAACTATATATCCAAATATTTCATAGAATTATTTGATCCACTTGATTGATCCATTTGATTCCATATTCTATGAAATATTTGGATATATAGTTTTTTCACTGAAATTATTAATCACTGATTGTTATATTAATTTGATGTATGAAATAATTGTGGATATATATTTTTGTCACGGATTATATTATTAATCATGGATTTATATCACTGTGAGTTATGAATGTCACTTAATTATATATATCATTTAGGTTTTTTCACTGATATATATAGGTTTAGGATTTCTTTATTTTTATCAAACACTAATTTATTGATGGCACTTTATGGGTAGTTTTACTATTTTAGCGCTTCACTAATTTAAGGGTGTGCAATTTATTACTTAATGGTTTAAGGTAGAGTGACAGCAGCTGTTGTTATAGGGACCTCACCTATATTAAGCGCAGGAGGATACTTCCATTTTCCATTCATTAGGTGCTTTTGACTTGTGATTGAGGTGTGATAGACCAGCCATATGAGATGACTGTTGGCCAATCTATTATGGTCAGACTTGGAGGAAGACTGGAAGCTTTTGATCTGGGGGGACAAACACAACCAGTTAGCTCTTTTGTGGCTGGGACAATTTTTTGTTTGTTAAATAAAGGGTACCGCTCAAAGTGTGTCATGGTGCCATTGGTGGACATGTTGGGTGTTGCTAAAGCCAATGGTTTATTCTGACAACCATTTTTACCCCTTCCATCTTCAGCTTGCTTTGCAGCTCTCAGCATTTGGTCACATGACATTTCAGAGCCTCAAAGGAAGTTGGTGCTTTCTGGAGCTTCTTTCTGCCCACCATCGGGTTTTTTTACTAAAGCTGGAGATTGCAAAATCAGGCTAACTTCTGCATAGAAACCAATCATCTTCCTGGTTTTATTGCTAAGGCTTAATGGAACAAGCTGAGGTTAGAAGCTGAATGGTTTTTATGCAGAAGTGAGACGGATTTTGCATTCTCCAACTGTAGGAAATAAATCCCCATGTGTCATTGACTGCGGGTCCCTCTATGATCATCATTTGAATGGTAAGGCATCTTTACCCAGGGCTACTAGCCTTATGTGTTTCATTAGTACTGACCCAGGGGCAGATACCCTACCTGCCCCCAGCCCTGTCCTCCCCTTGTCAAGCCAGGAATTGGTTACCTCTGCTGACATTCCAGAATGGATTCTCCTTTTCTTATTGATGTTTTTTCCCCCCAAGAGATCCAATGCCCAGGGAAATATCCATTCAGTCTAAAAACATGCATGCTTGGCCTGCACAAGTGTACATATCTATGTCATGGTCAAGAATGAACTATCGGCATATCTTCCTACTGCCAATTCATGTTTTGGAAAGTGTCATCATGAGCCAAACTTTATTTTAGCTTTGGATAGATTTGAATTGAACTTTCAGTTTAAGCCCTGGTTCACACTGATGCGGTGCGGAATTTGCAGCGTTTTCTGTGCGAATTCTGCACCGCATCAGAAACGCACCCCGTTCATGCAAACCGCTGCTGGTGTGTATGTTAAGAGAGATATCATTTCCCCCGGTACAAATCATTAGTAATACCTCATCTGGAATATGCATGCAGTTCAGTTTTGGGCACCAATTCACAAAAAGAACATTGGGGAACTGGAGAAAGTACAGAGAAGGGCAACTAAACTGATAAGAGGCATGGAGGAGATCAGCTATGAGGAAAGATTAGAGGAACTGAACTTATTCTCTATTGAGAAGAGGAGATTAAGGAAGGGGGGGTATGATCTCCATGTATAATACATAAGGGGGGATATGATCACCATGTATAATACATAAGGGGGGATATGATCACCATGTATAATACATAAGGGGGGATATGATCTCCATGTATAATACATAAGGGGGGATATGATCTCCATGTATAATACATAAGGGGGATATGATCTCCATGTATAATACATAAGGGGGGATATGATCTCCATGTATAATACATAAGGGGGGATATGATCTCCATGTATATTACATAAGGGGGGATATGATCTCCGTGTATAATACATAAGGGGGGTATGACCTCCATGTATAATATATAAGGGGGGATATGATCTCCATGTATAATAATACATAAGGGGGGATATGATCTCCATGTATAATACATAAAGGGGGATATGATCTCCATGTATAATACATAAGGGGGGGATATGATCTCCATGTATAATACATAAGGGGGGATATGATCTCCATGTATATTACATAAGGGGGGATATGATCTCCATGTATAATACATAAGGGGGGTATGATCTCCATGTATAATATATATAAGGGGGGATAGGATCTCCATGTATAATACATAAGGGGGATATGATCTCCATGTATAATATATAAGGGGGGATATTATCTCCATGTATAATACATAAGGGGGGATATGATCTCCATGTATAATACATAAGGGGGGATATGATGACCATGTATAATACCTAAGGGGGGATATGCTCTCCATGTATAATACCTAAGGGGGGATATGATCACCATGTATAAATACATAAGGGGGATATGATCACCATGTCTAATACATCAGGGGGGATATGATCTCCATGTATAATACATAAGGGGGGATATGATCACCATGTATAATACATAAGGGGGGATATGATCTCCATGTATAATACATAAGGGGGATATGATCTCCATGTATAATACATAAGGGGGGGGATATGATCTCCATGTATAATACATAAGGGGGGATATGATCTCCATGTATAATACATAAGAGGGGATATGATCACCATGTATAATACATAAGGGGGGATATGATCTCCATGTATAATACATAAGGGGGGATATGATCTCCATGTATAATACATAAGGGGGGATATGATCTCCATGTATAATACATAAGGGGGGGGATATGATCTCCATGTATAATACATAAGGGGGGATATGATCTCCATGTATATTACATAAGGGGGGATATGATCTCCATGTATAATACATAAGGGGGGTATGACCTCCATGTATAATATATAAGGGGGGATATGATCTCCATGTATAATACATAAGGGGGGATATGATCTCCATGTATAATACATAAGGGGGGATATGATCTCCATGTATAATACATAAGGGGGGATATGATCTCCATGTATATTACATAAGGGGGGATATGATCTCCATGTATAATACATAAGGGGGGTATTATCTCCATGTATAATATATAAGGGGGGATATTATCTCCATGTATAATACATAAGGGGGGATATGATCTCCATGTATAATACATAAGGGGGGATATGATCACCATGTATAATACCTAAGGGGGGATATGCTCTCCATGTATAATACCTAAGGGGGGATATGATCACCATGTATAATACATAAGGGGGATATGATCACCATGTCTAATACATCAGGGGGGATATGATCTCCATGTATAATACATAAGGGGGGATATGATCACCATGTATAATACATAAGGGGGGATATGATCTCCATGTATAATACATAAGGGGGATATGATCTCCATGTATAATACATAAGGGGGGGATATGATCTCCATGTATAATACATAAGGGGGGATATGATCTCCATGTATAATACATAAGGGGGGATATGATCACCATGTATAATACATAAGGGGGGATATGATCTGCATGTATAATACATAAGGGGGGATATGATCTCCATGTATAATACATAAGGGGGATATGATCTGCATGTATAATACATAAGGGGGGATATGATCTCCATGTATAATACATAAGGGGGGGATATGATCTCCATGTATAATACTTAAGGGGGGATATGATCACCATATATAATACATAAGGGGGGATATGATCACCATGTATAATACATAGGGGGGGATATGATCTCCATGTATAATACATAAGGGGGGGTATGATCTCCATATATAATACATAAGGGGGGATATGATCTCCATGTATAATACATAAGGGGGGATATAATCTCCATGTATAATACATAAGGGGCGATATGATGTCCATGTATAATACATAAGGGGGGATATGATCTCCATGTATAATACATAAGGGGGGATATGATCTCCATGTATAATACATAAGGGGGGATATGATCTCCATGTATAATACATAAGGGGGGATATGATCTCCATGTATAATACATAAGGGGGGATATGATCTCCATGTATAATACATAAGGGGGGATATGATCACCATGTATAATACATAAGGGGGGATATGATCTCCATGTATAATACATAAGGGGGATATGATCTCCATGTATAATACATAAGGGGGGGATATGATCGCCATGTATAATACATAAGGGGGGATATGATCTCCATGTATAATACATAAGAGGGGATATGATCACCATGTATAATACATAAGGGGGGATATGATCTCCATGTATAATACATAAGAGGGGATATGATCACCATGTATAATACATAAGGGGGGATATGATCTCCATGTATATTACATAAGGGGGGATATGATCTCCATGTAATAATACATAGGGGGATATGATCTCCATGTATAATACATAAGGGGGGATATGATCTCCATGTATAATACATAAGGGGGGATATGATCTCCATGTATAATACATAAGGGGGGATATGATCACCATGTATAATACCTAAGGGGGGATATGCTCTCCATGTATAATACCTAAGGGGGGATATGATCACCATGTATAATACATAAGGGGGATATGATCACCATGTCTAATACATCAGGGGGGATATGATCTCCATGTATAATACATAAGGGGGGATATGATCACCATGTATAATACATAAGGGGGGATATGATCTCCATGTATAATACATAAGGGGGATATGATCTCCATGTATAATACATAAGGGGGGGATATGATCTCCATGTATAATACATAAGGGGGGATATGATCTCCATGTATAATACATAAGGGGGGATATGATCACCATGTATAATACATAAGGGGGGATATGATCTGCATGTATAATACATAAGGGGGGATATGATCTCCATGTATAATACATAAGGGGGATATGATCTGCATGTATAATACATAAGGGGGGATATGATCTCCATGTATAATACATAAGGGGGGATATGATCTCCATGTATAATACCTAAGGGGGGATATGATCACCATGTATAATACATAAGGGGGGATATGATCACACATGTATAATACATAGGGGGGGATATGATCTCCATGTATAATACATAAGGGGGGTATGATCTCCATATATAATACATAAGGGGGGATATGATCTCCATGTATAATACATAAGAGGGGATATAATCTCCATGTATAATACATAAGGGGCGATATGATGTCCATGTATAATACATAAGGGGGGATATGATCTCCATGTATAATACATAAGGGGGGATATGATCTCCATGTATAATACATAAGGGGGGATATGATCTCCATGTATAATACATAAGGGGGGATATGATCTCCATGTATAATACATAAGGGGGGATATAATCTCCATGTATAATACATAAGGGGGGATATGATCTCCATGTATAATACATAAGGGGGGATATGATCTCCATGTATAAATACATCAGTGGTTCATATAGCGAACTTGGTGTAGAGTTTATCACCTTGAGGTCATCACAGAGGACAAGGGGGCACTCTTTACGTCTGGAGGAAAATAAATTTAATCTCCAAACACAGAAAGGTTTCTTCACAGTGAGAGCTGTGAAAATGTGGAATAGACTCCCTCAAGAGTTGGTTCTGGCCAGCTCCGTAGATTGCTTCAAAAAAGGATACACAGAATATAACTGGATACTAACATTTATAGGTGACATTGATCCAGGGAATATCTGATTGCCTCTCGGGGGGATCAGGAAGGAATTCTTTCCCCTGCAGGAGCTAATTGGATCATGCTGGGTATCTTTGCCTTCCTCTGGATCAACAGTGGGTGTATAATTAGAACCTTTTTTTTTTTTGTAATGGTTGAACTGGATTGACGTTTGTCTTTTTTCAGCCAGACTAACTATGTAACTATGTAAGTTATCAACACCCCAAAAGCGGTCCGCAAAACGCGGTGCGTTGTGTAGAATCGGATCGCATAGGTTTGAAAGCCCATGTAATCCAATTCTAGTGCGGACCAAAACAGGGTCCTGCAGGTTTTTGGTGCGGATGCAGTGCGATTAGAGCCGTGCAAAATGTATGCTTCCAATCGCACCGCATACAAATCGCATGTGATTTGCATAGGAATGCGGTGCGGTTCCTGTGCGAATCACATGCGATATACTGGACCGCATATATGTGAACCCGGGCTAAATGAGATAAATGCAGTCCAGGTGCATTAAAAAAATATTAAATATATTATCAAATTCTTTCTGTTAATTTTCTTTGGAAAGTAGTCACAGCCTGAAAAGAAAAGCCTATCCCTTACCAGCAGCTGCAAAGCTTGACCTTGCTTTCTGTGTGGTTTTTCTGCAGAATTGGAAGTCTGACACACCCATGTAAATTAAAGCGAGAACGCTCCAATCAGAAGAGTATGAGCTATGCTGAGTGCAGAGCTATAGTTTGAAAATCTGCAAAAGGTGTGTCAAATTTCTGCAGAAAGACCTCTGCTACCAGAGAGCAAGTGTCCTACTCTACAACTGCCAGCCAGGGATGGGCTTCTCTACTCAGGCTGTAGCTACTTTTTAAAGAAAATAACTGTAAGGCCCCATGTACACGGGACACTTCTGAACGATGGAAACTGACTGCTGGAAAACGTAGGTTAAAAAACGTCTGTTTAGCCGCGTTTGCATTACGCATTTATGTGCGTTTGCGTTTTGAAGCATTTTTTAAAGATAAGCACAGGAAAACCTCCCAAATGCCCAGAATGCACTGAAAAGTGGTAAATTATTAACTATTTCAGACAGTTTCAGAGAAATACAGAGAGTAGAAGCAGAGACAGCAGTATGTGTTGACATTAGCTTAGGTGTGAGTTGCTCATTAACATTTCTTTTGTTTCCAAGGGTGGCAAAGGTGTCTGGTGGAGGGAGTCATTAAGGTCACCTGGTAGGGGGTCTTCATGAGGAAGTTGAGGTGTGAATGGTCATTAACATATCTTTTGTTTCCAAGGGTGGGAGAGGTCTGAGGTGTAAAGTGGTCATTACAATGTGTGACAAGCTTGGTAGGAACATCCTGGGTTCAGTGTTTTGTCCATCTGAGTACCTTGAAAATGCTTTGCATGCATTTTTCATAATGAAAAAAGGCTCTGGACAGCATCGGGAACTGGAAGAGTTTAAAAAAAAAAATTTCAAACGCGGGCGCTTGTAAACACGATTTGCTGCATTTAGCTGCGTTTACATGCATTTTGCGTTTGAAACGCTGATAAAATCGACTGCTGAACGCAATTTTTCTGCATTCAAAAAAACGACTGTAAACTCAAATGCCTGTAAATGACTGTAAACGAAGATGTGTACATGGACACATAGGAAAACATTAGGGAGAGTTCAGGGGCTGCTGAAATCAACGCTGAACAACTCCTAAACGTGATCAGCTTCAGTGTACATGAGCCCTTAGGCATTGAGTAACTTTTGTTTTGATGCAACTGGAAATGTATGTGGCTGGTTTAAAATACATTGAACTTAAACATATGCAGGTGTTGAGAGCCATATGGGGTTCCCAGGGGTGTGTCTGCAGAGTTTCAGCCTTTGTTTTGCGTTCCAGACTTCAGGCTGTAATTGACTGCAAAGGATTTGCAACCAAGTATTAAAAAGGGAAAGTTTGATTTATGATTATTATTCTGTCCCATTACTTTGGTCCCTTAACAAGTGGGAGGCACATATGCACACTGTTGTAATTCCTACACCGTTCACCTGATTTGGATGTAAATACCCTCAAATTAAAGCTGACAGTCTGTAGTTAAAGCACATCTTGTTCGTTTCATTTCAAATCCATTGTGGTGGTGTATAGAGCCAAAAATGTTAGAATTGTGTTGATGTCCCAATATTTATGGACCTGACTGTACTTGCATACATTTTAGCCTTTTGGTTGTCATACCATTTGAGGTTAGCAGGACAGGATATAAAAAAAAAAACATTTCTTCAAACAAGTGTATCCCAGAGACGAGTGTATCACAGGGGACATTGCTGTACTTACACAAAATTCTTGGTAAACCTGATGCACTGGGCAGTTTCGTAAAAATATATACCAAAATAGGGTTTGTAGTGTTGTCAGGAATCTGGTGTACTGGATTGAGCTCACCTTGTTCACATTCTCTGTATTCAGGTTTTAGACTCCCGCTCCCTCAGGACAGACTCCGTTGTTGGAGAATTTCGGGTAAGTTTTTGTATCAACGTGTGGCTGTGGGTATAGGGTGCACCTCAATTCAAAATGTAAACATTTACTAGATTCAGAAATGATAAAGCTTTCTGAAAACATGTAATTTTTTTTTCTGGAATACTTCCTGAATAACAGTTTACTTCCTGGTATGTGAGTGTGCCTAGGCACTTTCTCTGGCTACATCCTTATAGCTGTATACCTGCAGTGTGAGATCTAAGGCATTGCTGCCTCTGACTGCTAGCCTCAGGAAATATCAAGTGAGATTGGGTTATATAATTACTGTGCTGCTCATTGTTCTCCTTACTGGAAGCTCTGATATGAGGAAGCAAAGCCCTGCCCAGGGGCAGACTGACCATTTGAAAACTCGGGCACTGCCCGAGGGCCTGGGGTCAGTAGGGGGCCCCATGAGATGCCCCTAGTACCTTTTTCATAGGCTTTTTTTTGAGTTTGGGCAAGGACACAGGGGCCCCATGATCCCCTATTGCCTGGGGGCCCCATGAGTTGTCAGTCCGCCCCTGGGCCCCTGACTGCTAGCCTCAGGAAATATCAAGTGAGATTGGGTGATATAATTACTGTGCTGCTCATTGTTCTCCTTACTGGAAGCTCTGGTATGAGGAAGCAAAGCCCTGCCCAGGGGCAGACTGACCATTTGAAAACTCGGGCACTGCCCGAGGGCCCGGGGTCAGTAGGGGGCCCCATGAGATGCCCCTGGTACCTTTTTCATAGGCTTTTTTGAGTTTGGCAAGGACACAGGGGCCCCATGATCCCCTATTTCCGGGGGGCCCCATGAGTTGTCAGTCGGCCCCTGCCTCTACCAAGATGGCCACCCTCACACAGAAACACGGTGCAGAACAAGGCATGGTCATTCAGTAATGGTGAAAGATCAGCTGCAAGGAGATCACAGCCAATAATAGCGACTAGGTTTTTTACCATTTGCTGGCTATTTATTGGGCACAGCTTCCAAAATTGAGTTCCTCTTTAAAGTGAAACTGTCCTCTACCCTGAAGTTAAGATAGGAGCAGCAGTCAGAGAAGAAACACCAGGAACCTGACATAACCTCCCTTGTCCAGAGTTCCCTTTAGTGCCCCATCTGAGATTATTTTGTCTTTGTTATGAAGACTGGCAACCTGCCGGCCTCTTGTCCAGTGGAAGTTATTTAGTCACCAGCAAGGCACTCCTTTTGGGCAAGAAGCTGGCCTTTGGGCGTGTTTTTTGTGGTGATATTTTGAATAGTGTTGGAGTAACTACAGCCTTACAATTATTATAGACAAGTCCGTTCTTGAGATCTAGAGTGCTGGAAAGTCCCATTTTCCATTTCAATATTATTTGTATTGCTTGATAGGGATGAGGTGCCTTACATACTCACCTATTCTATGCCTTTTTTACAAGTAGCTACAGTGTTGTCTTTTCTCTCCATACAGATGGATGTCGGGATGATTTACGGAGAGCTAAGTAAGTGTCATTTTTTTTATACCCGGGTATCTAGATGTCCTAGGAAGGACACAATAGAAATAAACATTGCTGGGAATGTAAAAAAGTGCGATAAAATATATTTAGGTACCTGGGCACTGAGGATGATGGTAGCCGTTGCACATGTACAGTTGCAAGAAAAAGTATGTGAACCCCTTGGGATTACGTGGAGTTTTGCATGAATTGGGCATAAAATGTGCTCTGAACGTCATCTAAATCCCAACAATAGAAGAACACAGTCTGCTGAACATAATACTACACAAACATTAGATGTTGCATGGTTTAATTGCAGATAACATGTAAACATTCACAGTGCAGGGAGGAAAAAGTATGTGAACCTTTGGACTTAATAACTGGTTGACCCTCCTTTGGCAGCAATAACCTCAACCAAACGTTTCCTGTAGTTGCAGATCAGACCTGCACAACGATCTGGAGTAATTTTGGACCACTCCTCTTCACAAAACTGTTTCAGTGTAGCAATATTCTCGGGATGTCTGGTGTGAATCGCTCTCTTAAGGTCATGCCACAGCATTTCAATCGGGTTGCGGTCAGGACTCTGACTGGGCCACTCCAGAAGGCGTATTCTGTGCTGCTGCAGCCATTGTTTTGTTGAATTACTTGTATGCTTTGGGTCATTGTCCTGTTGCATCACCCATCCTCTGCAGAGCTTCAGTTGGCGGACAGATGGTCGTACGTTTTCCTGCAAAATGTCTTGATAAACTCTGGAATTCATTTTCCCATCAATGACAACAATTCGTCCAGGCCCTGAGGCAGCAAAGCAGCCCCAAACCATGATGCTCCCTCCGCCATGTTTTACAGTGGGGATGAGGTTTTGATGTTGGTGTGCTGGGCCTTTTTTTCTCCACACATAGTGTTGTGTGTTCTTCCCAAACAACTCAATCTTGGTTTCATCTGTCCACAGTATATTTTGCCAGTAGTGCTGTGGAACATCCAGGTGCTCTTTTGCAAACTTCAAACGTGCTGCAATATTCTTTTTGGACAGCAATGGCTTCCTCCGTGGTGTCCTCCCATGTACTCCATTCTTGTTTAGTGTTTTCCTTATTGTAGATGTGTCAACAAAAATGTTAGCTGGTGCAAGAGATTTCTGTAGGTCTTTAGCTGACACTCTGGGATTCTTCTTTACCTCATGCAGCATTCTGCGCTGTGCTCTTGCAGTCATTTTTACAGGACGACCTCGCCTAGGGAGAGTAGCAACATTGCTAAACGTTCTCCATTTGTAGACAGTCTGTCTTACCGTGGACCCATGAACATCAAGGCTTTTGGAGATACTTTTGTAACCCTTTCCAGCTTCTTGCAAGTCAACAATTCTTGATCGTAGGTCTTCTGAGAGCTCTTTTCTGTTAGGCATGGTTCACATCAGACAGTGCTTCTTGAAACCAGTAAACCCAAAACAGGTGTGTGTGTTTTTAAGGGCAGGACAGCTGTCAGCAACACATCCAATATCATCACACTATTTTTAGTCAAGGTTGGCTCACTCCTGGCTCCAATTAGCTCTGGGAGAAGTCATTAAGCTAGGGCCTCACATACTTTTTCCTCTCTGCACTGTGAATGTTTACATGTTATGTGCAATTAAACCATGGCAACATCTAATGTTTGTGTAGTATTATGTTCAGCAGACTGTGTTCTTCTATTGTTGTGACTTAGATGACGTTCAGAGCACATTTTATGCCCAATTCATGCAAAACTCCACGCAATCCCAAGGGGTTCACATACTTTTTCTTGCAACTGTACTTGTGTTCTGTGGATATCTGCTGATTGTTTCCTTCTGAATGACAATGGCCACTTAGTACAAAGCGAAAATGAACGAGCGCTGGGTGAATATTAATGTTTAGATAGCTGCCAGCATAAAAAGGAAAACCTCTAAGACCTCTAAATGTGATATATATACAGTTGCAAGAAAAAAATATGTGAACCCCTCGGGATTACGTGGAGTTTTGCATGAATTGGGCATAAAAAATGTGCTCTGAACATCATCTAAGTCACAACAATAGAAGAACACAGTCTGCTGAACACAATACTACTACACAAACATTAGATGTTGCCATGGTTTAATTGCACATAACATGTAAACATTCACAGTGCAGGGAGGAAAAAGTATGTAAACCTTTGGACTTAATAACTGGTTGACCCTCCTTTGGCAGCAATAACCTCAACCAAACGTTTCCTGTAGTTGCAGATCAGACCTGCACAAGGATCTGGAGTAATTTTGGACCACTCCTCTTCACAAAACTGTTTCAGTGTAGCAATATTCTTGGGATGTCTGGTGTGAATCGCTCTCTGAAGGTCATGCAACAGCATTTCAATCGGGTTGAGGTCAGGACTCAGACTGGGCCACTCCAGAAGGTGTATTCTGTGCTGTTGCAGCCATTGTTTTGTGTTGAATTACTTGTATACTTTGGGTCATTGTTCTGTTGCATCACCCATCCTCTGCGGAGCTTCAGTTGGCTGACAGATGGTCGTACGTTTTCCTGCAAAATGTCTTGATAAACTCTGGAATTCATTTTCCCATCAATGACAACAATCCGTCCAGGCCCTGAGGCAGCAAAGCAGCCCCAAACCATGATGCTCCCTCCGCCATGTTTTACAGTGGGGATGAGGTTTTGATGTTGGTGTGCTGTGCCTTTTTTTTCTCCACACATAGTGTTGTGTGTTTCTTCCCAAACAACTCAATCTTGGTTTCATCTGTCCACAGTATATTTTGCCAGTAGTGCTGTGGAACATCCAAGTGCTGTTTGCAAACTTCAAACGTGCTGCAATATTCTTTTTGGACAGCAATGGCTTCCTCCGTGGTGTCCTCCCATGTACTCCATTCTTGTTTAATGTTTTCCTTATTGTAGATGTGTCAACAAAAATTTTAGCATGTGCCAGAGATTTCTGTAGGTCTTTAGCTGACACTCTGGGATTCTTCTTTACCTCATGCAGCATTCTGCGCTGTGCTCTTGCAGTCATTTTTACAGGACGACCACACCTAGGGAGAGTAGCAACAGTGCTAAACTTTCTCCATTTGTAGACAGTCTGTCTTACCGTGGACACATGAACATCAAGGCTTTTGGAGATACTTTTGTATCCCTTTCCAGCTTCATGCAAGTCAACAATTCTTGATCGTAGGTCTTCTGAGACCTCTTTTCTGCGAGGCATGGTTCACATCAGACAGTGCTTCTTGAAACCAGTAAACCCAAAACAGGTGTGTGTTTTTTTAAGGGCAGGACAGCTGTCAGCAACACATCCAATATCATCACACTGATTGGAGTCAAGGTTGGCTCACTCCTGGCTCCAATTGGCTCTGGGAGAAGTCATTAAGCTAGGGCCTCACATACTTTTTCCTCCCTGCACTGTAAATGTTTACATGTTATGTGCAATTAAACCATGGCAACATCTAATGTTTGTGTAGTATTATGTTCAGCAGACTGTGTTCTTATGTGTATGTGTATGATCCCCCTGGTGGCTGAGACCTGCATAGCTGGAGACTGGTAACCTGTCCTGGATGTATGACACCTGGTGGTTGCTGCAGCCCTGATGACTTCATCCGTTTGCAGTGTTCCAGATCCTGAGCACCTAGGAGTAGGTCTTATATACTCCAATGCGCAAGTGATTGCGCTATCTGGTTAGTGCAATATATATCCATTTTTCACAGCCACAGGAGTCACGGATGTTTTACACCATATGGTTTTATTGACTTTATCACAATTGTCACTATATGCACCTTCCACGATTTATACATCACGGTAATTTGTGATTATACATTGTCTTTTAGCGCTGCATGTTTTATAGCTATATAATGGCCACTTAGTGATCCCATGGTGGAAATGACTTTCTTGGCTGACCATGGTATTTTCATGCGGGTTGCTCAGCTAGAAACCTTGAGCCACTTCTGAAGCCTGTCTTTTTAATAGTACCCAACAGTCCCCATCCAACCATTTGTTCCAAGTTGATCCAGAGTCTCCTGGACATTCTGCTCATTGCTTGCAGCTCACTTCATCTGCTTGACTTGCTGACTGAGACGTCATCCTGTTCTCTGCCTTGTGCTCTGAATGTATTGTTCCATCTCCCAACATCTGCACTGGTTGTCTGTGCTCCAGAACTAAGGACAACCACCCCAAGCCAAGGCCAAGAACACAGAATGACTCAGAGAGACTCTGCTGAGCTCAAATCCAAAATGGGGCACTCATCTCTACCATCTAGTCTACAGAGTTGCCAGACCTCCCAGTATTCTAAGTTGAAAACAAGCATCAGAACCCCTTTTACAGCAGGACCAGAACCACAAAGAATTAATATGCAAAATATGATTGGTTAAATGCACATATACTACTTTTCCTTTTTGCTGGGTTTTCATAATCACAAATAACCTTTTAACACAGAGGAACCCTTGGAACTATTTTGACAGTCTCAGGGAACCCGTACAAAATAATTAGCCCTACAACTCATGGTACATTAGCATGATCATTGGGTTTAGGAAACGTATAAATAAATGAAATATATATAAAATAATCATGAAATTCGACAAATATAAATAATGGCCAGAATAGAAACACAGACAGTAAAATTTGTAGTGACCCCTTTCATTGGTGTTCAATGTAGACATGACCCTTTACCTTGGTGTTCAATGTAGATGTGACCCCTTACATTGGTGTTCACTGTTGGTGTTCATTGTAGACGTGACCCCTTACATTGGTGTTCAATGTAGATGTGACTCCTTACATTGGTGTTCACTGTTGGTGTTCAATGTAGATGTGACCCCTTACATTGGTGTTCAATGTAGACATGACCCCTTACCTTGGTGTTCAATGTAGATGTGACCCCTTACATTGGTGTTCACTGTTGGTGTTCATTGTAGACGTGACCCCTTACCTTGGTGTTCAATGTAGATGTGACTCCTTACATTGGTGTTCACTGTTGGTGTTCAATGTAGATGTGACCCCTTACATTGGTGTCCAATGTAGATGTGACCCCTTACATTGGTG